ATTATTATTATTATTATTATATCTGTAATTACCTCCATTGGAATAATAGGAAATATAACTTGTCCTGTCCTTTTGATCTCAATTATTTTAATGAATTGGCGGGAACCTGGAGAACTATGAAAGTCATCATCCAGAAGATTCAAGTATTTATTAACAGTTGTCTACACAAAATACTTCGGATTCGTTGACCAGACACTATCATCAACATCCTACTGTGAAAGAGAACAAACCAGATTCCAGTGGAGGAAGAAACCAGGAGGAAGCTGTGGAAGTGGATAGGACACACATTGAGGAAAGCACCCAAATGTGTCACAAGATAAGCCCTCACATGGAATCCTGGAGATCAAAGGACAAGAGGAAGACCAAAGAACACATTACATCGAGCAACGGAGACAGACATGAGAAGAATGAACAAAAATTGGATAGAACTGGAAAGGAAGGCCCAGGACAGAGTGGGTTGGAGAATGTTGGTCGGCATTCTATGCCCCATTGGGCATAACAGGCGTAAGTAAGTAAATTTTAATGAATTAATTTAAAACAATCACAAGAAATGAGACTCAAACAAACATAAAATCAATAATCAATATTCTACTAACCCAATAGAATATATACTTTGTCATTTTCCTCATATTCACTTGTCAACTGACAAACGTTTTATTCGGTATATTGATTTGTTTATTATTTATGTATGCTTATATAATATATATTTATATATATTAATATATATATATTATATTATTATAATATATATATATTATATGGTAAGGGTGTATACATTACAGTGTATAATCCTATCCATTGTTACCATATAACTTACCTAATCAAAGTAATCTAGTTATTAGAAATTGAGTATAATTACATTTATCCATATACATACAATATGACATATTTTGAAAGTTTCACCATAGTTGAAAGTTTGCGTACTATGGGTACAGTAATGATTTAATAGCATAGGCTATTAATAATTTCCTTCTTGTGAGATAGATTAATTCATATTGTAGATTAGGTTGGTCAAAATGACATTTCAAATTGAGAATAGTGATTTTAATAATTATAAATCTGAGAGGGATTTTGTGGATATTATAGTCAATCAGCAACTGAATTCATGAGTCAATTGAAGGTAGACCACCATGGGAAAACCTAGAAGCACTGGATGGTTGTTTCGTCCTATTGTAGGACTCCTCAGCAGTGTGCATCCACGATCTCACCTCACAAGATTCGAACCCTGGACTTATCGGTCTCGCATGCGCACGCTTAACCTCTAGACCATTGACTTGGCCGGCATCCAATAGTGTTAATGTCTAAATTCAACTAATCCACGAAATTGAGCTGCACATCCACCATTATCATCAGTGAATTACTATCTGACAACAGACCCGGTTGAACTCCGCCGGTCACTGATTCTCCCTAAAACTCTAGGAAAAATTCCTTTCATAATAATCAGAGGGAAGTCACAATAACTTAACCGATTTATATCCAAGTGTTATATATTCTAATATCTCGATTTTTCAACTACATACTATATAGAATTAATGTTGATTTATGTCAAATTATTCATTTTTTTAGGAGTTGGTGATAGTAACAGATAAAAAGTGATAGTGTTAGGTTTCATTTAAATTGATATTTATCACCAAGATGTATCTTCAGTCTTAAAGGAACTGATATTACTCACCTGTCCCATATAGTCTTCAAGTCAGAGATGTTATCATTCAAATAAATGAATGTGATGTATGGACACCGATCATCCCTAAAAACATCCATAGAGATATTGCCCTATTTAGACTTGTGGCCACATTACAACTTAACTGATATTTGTAAACATGTAAGAAAAGTTGACAAGATGAAATTGGGAAATATGTCCTTTCTGGTTACATTGATGTAAATTTATATTATCAAATGAGTAGCGAGTTTGAATTCTTGGTGAAATCTCATTATATGGTATATGTTGATAAAAAAATAATGAAAAAGTTGTTCTTAGCAATAAATCATGATGAATTTCATTTTCATTCACGCAACTGCGCAACCATCTTCCATTGTACTGAGGTAGATACCTGTCTCTATCCGACTCGGGTTAGTTCAACTGGTCACGGTTTCTCATTAGAACTTCGAAAATTCCCTCACAAAGCTAGTCACTAGTGAGCACATGGTAATTACCAATATGAGGTTTGTGGAATCTGTGACCAGTGGAACTAATCTATGTCGGGTAGAGACAAGTATCTGCCTCAGTACAATCGAAGATGGTCGCGCGATTTCGTAGATTGAGGTTAGACATTAACAATGTTTCAGACCGGCTCAGTGGTCTAGAGGATAAGCGTGTGTGAGCGAGACCGAAAACCCTTGATTCGAGGTCTCACGAGCGGGACCGTGGATGCACACCGCTTAGAAGTTCCACAGTAGGACGAAACGGTCGTTCAGTGCTCATAGGTTTTCAATGATGGTCTTGTAGTGTCAGTTATTATGCTAAGCCCATATACCTTATTCTAGCTTTCGGACAGCCCATTTTATTCATTCTACCTGAGCCATACTTTAACCTTGTTATTTATTCGCTTATCAGTCTTGACTGTTTTCATATTAGCGTATATGTGTGTGCCCTTCTTATCCCATTAATCACATGTCTGTAGCCTTATTTTGTCTGACTATAAATATTGAGTAGCGCTTGACAAAGATGGAGTTGGCTTCCCAGCCATCTTCCCTGCGTGTCATTTTTGCTTTGCTCTGTTCTATTCGCTTCATGTACAATATGTATGTATTCACAAATCAATTCTCGTTATTCGACTTATTTATTTCCGTTATTGGCTAACGCGATTTAAGTCGACGATTATATACGAGAATAGGCGATAACAATCATTCGTACGATCTAGGAGTCAGATCCACGGGCCACTAAAGTCTAACATCAATCGGTTCATGATCTCAATCACAAACTTAATAATCTCTACAACCCCATACTGATTTATATTGAATTACAAAACAGGTTGAAAGATTGCGTTTCAATACCATATGCATTGTGATGAAGTATCCTACAGACTCTGAATTAATCGAGTGATTGGCACCAAAGTATGAACAGCTTATTTTGCGGACAGAAAGCATATCGAAAAAATTATTTCCTACACAACCTTACTACTCACAAGTAGACAAAATAAACAAACGAAATTCTAACGCTTCTAATCTACAGTAATGAAAGATCTAAAGAACGAACTTCTTGGAATAAGGCCAACGATAAGTTTCAACTAAATTGAGATTAAACTCGTTTTTATCTCCCAGCTTCGCTTCCTGTATGTTGACTTTGTCTGTTTCAAGTGCTACTTTATTTATTAAAACTCTCTAGTTTGACTCAACTTCAGATGTTTAAATGTCTCATGAAGTTTTAAGGTAAAATTTTGCTTTCTAACAACATCCTACTTATCTTATTCACTTTTGTTTCATTCTCAATGCTCGTTTACATTCTTCACTTAGTCATAGAGTTTCTTGCCCATGTCTTTTGATTTACTCATTTATATGGTGGCACATTTGTCTCGACTGAATTATAAATCACACTCAACTCTGTATGTAATCACCGAGATAACAGTGCGATATACGGGGTTTAATGTGAAATGTGTTGTCCATGTGTATACTTTAAGTGTTTTTCCAAGCAGACAAACTATAACAGAATACGAAATAGTACAACGCGTTATTTGGATGGACTACGAAATCAATCGACAAGTGGATTGACGTTCAGTTTATATATAAGTCAAATAAGCAAAGAATCAAATAAACAATAAGCAGATATATCCAGAATTATCTTTAAAAAAAGGTAGTCAGACGTAAATTCAAGGCTAATTATGTATGAATACATACGATGTAAACGATAAGATTTCAAAGATTCATTCAATGATCGCAAAAGTGTTTGTATCAAATTATCAAGTTAATTCATCACTTAATTGTTAATCTAAATAAGTATTCATTATTATCAAAAAAGTATGAAGCTGTTACATCCTTTGTATGAACTACAGCTTGGATTTCATACTTGATCTGGAAACGACGCTTAATCTATACTCGATAAATGATTCTATTAAATCTTACCACATATAATATCATCTAATTCATGGAAGCCTTTAATTCAACTACTATTAATCTGTCGAAACAACTCTTTATAAGACAGTAGTTCATGAGTTCGTAATAAAATATAGTTATGAGGATATAAGTAACTTCTTATTTCAATGTGTTATCACAAATCAAAATTCAAACAAATAATAGAGTTGACAAATAGTTACTTCTCATCTAAAAACTTTGATGGCGAAACCCTGGAAGATGTAGAATTCTTCACATACCTAGGAAGCATCATCGATGAACAAGGAGGTTCAGATGCAGATGTAAGGGCGAGGATTGGCAAAGCAAGGCCCGCATTCCTACAATTGAAGAACATATGGAACTCAAAACAACTTTCAACCAATATCAAAGTCACAATCTTCAATACGAATGTCAAAGTAGTCCTACTGTGAGGAGCTGAAACTTGGAGAAGTACAACAACCATCATCACGAAGGTGCAAGTATTAATAAATAGTTGTCTACGCAGGATACTCAACATCCATTGGCCAGATACCATCAGCAACAGCCTTTTGTGGGAGAGAACAAACCAGCTTCCAGCTGAACAAGAAATCAGGAAAAGACTATAGAAATGGATAGGACATACATTACGCAAATCGTCAAACTGCATCACTAGGCAAGCCTGACTTGGAATCCTGAAGGGAAGTGGAAAAGATGAAGGTCAAAGTACACATTACATCGGGAAATAGAAACAGATATGGAAAGGGTGAATAACAACTGGAAGGAGCTAGAAAGAATTGCCTAGGACAGGGTTGGATGGAGAATGCTGGTGAGCGACCTATGCTCCTTCACGAGGAGTAACAGGCGTAAGTAAGTAAGTAAGTCATTTAAAAAATACCTAACAGAAAAGAAGAAAAAAAGTAAATTCAATGTCCTTTTTAAAGTTCTATTGTATTATCTATTCATACTTTATCATTTCATCTTTCATAGTAATCATCTTCTGTTAATGGAATCAATTTATCAGTACGCTGTAATTTATATTCAAATTCAGCTAATTGTATCATAAAATTCCAACTTGGTTGCATCGGTATACAGATCTTTCGTAAATACATCCATGCATCCTACAAAAAATTAATAGAATTAAATAATTGTATACAATATAATGAACTAAGTGAGAAAGAAAGAAACAATACGATAAGATAAAACTGGAATGATATACCACCACTGAAAACCTGGTAGCATTGTATGGTCATTTTGTCCTAGTATGGGACTCCTCAGCAATGTGAATACACGATTCTCCATACACGATTCAAATTCAGGACCTTTGGTCTTGTGCGTGAACGCTTAAGTTTTAGATCGCTGAGCCAGCATCCAACCATGTCGGGTGCGAGGCAGTTGCCCACCGAAGACACTGGAAGATGGTCGCGCAACATCTTGAATTGATTGAAATTAGACATTAACGCCGCTGGACGTCGATCCAGTGGCCTAGAGGTTAGGGGTTCATGCGCAGGACTAAAGGTCCTGGGTTCGGATCCTGAGTGAGGAGTCGTGGATTCGCATTGCTGAAGAGCCCTGAACTAAGACGAAAAACCATCCAGAGCCCCCAGTTTTTCAACGGTAGTTTAACATTCATCAGTTCATGGTCTCAGCTACAACTAACTATCAATAAATTTGTCTATTCACTGATTGATCTCATGGAAATCGTATCGATTTAATAGTTTATCACTAAATATTTTATTTGTAGTGTGATGCCTACTATTCAATCATTTAGTTTAATGTTAAGCTGAAACATTTACTCGTATATACTCACATTTCAATGAGATTTAAACTGCGAGAGTGATAGATCCTGGGTTTAAATCTCGTGAGGCAGGATCGTGGATGCGCACTGCCGAGGAGTTCCACAACAGGGCGAAACGGCTGTCCAGTGCTTCCAGGTTTTCTATGGTGGTCTAACTTCAGTTCACACATGATCTCAACTATTGAAATATGTATGTAAATTCTAAATGTATTTGCATTATAAACTGTCAAAGGATGAATAAGGTAAGACTAATAAATAAATGAGGTTGTTTGAGTTTGATCGAATAACACTGACTAGTGATTTAAAAAATCGAAATGTCTATTTAAAAAGATATTCATCATCAAACTTGACAATGTTCTTTCCTACACGGACTCAAAAGACTAGCTTGGTTTTGGGGTACGTAAGATCTCCGTCTGGCAACTGGAAAGACTAGTATCTTAGAAAGTAATTCATCATGTTCTACACTATAACTATGAAACGTGTCCTTTATTAGTATGTGATAATAGTTATCTTCAAACGATTGCTTGCATACGTTGGGGCAGTAAAATGAACAGTGCTTAGGCTAGACTCTAAGAACTAGGTGAAGATGATAAATTGGTTGGTAAGGTAGAAAATCTGTATCGACTGAGCTAGTTGAGTTATGTATAACCTATGACTAACCACCCCTAACCTTGATGTGATGTCTGCCGATGTAGGGGTAGGTTGAAAGAAAGTTAGTAATCGATAATCCCAAACGTGCATCAGTCGACAAAGTCATTGGTAATTAAAAAAAAACAATTTCGGTAGATGCAGTCTACCTGATTGGTGTCTGTGAGCCCATCATAATCAGTGATTTGAGACTTTAGGTGACATGGCTCAATAGTCAGTCTCAGTGGATTAGAGATACTCATTCATTTCCTTATCTTATAGCTTGAGTTTCAAAATGATATAATATTTTCTTTTTCAAAGTTTCAATAGCCAAATACTTAATTACTTACGTCTGTTACACCTTGTAGAGGAGCATAGGCCGCCCACCAGGATTTTCTATCAATCGCCTATGTCTAATAATTTCTGCTACCATCGATACTATTAATACTTTCATTACTCTGTCATTTATCTTAACAACTAAATCTCCCTGTTTTGATGCTGTAAAGCAACTTAAACCAATATTCACATCCGTCACGTTCTATATCGCTCATTGTAGTGCACGAGAATACAAATGAAGAACAAGCAAATGTATTTGGACACAAAATTACAGAATCTCTTAGTAAAATCTGAAAACCATACAATAAATAATTCATTTGCAAAATGTCAATCAATTGTCTTAGACTTGATTGTTCTTTCGTTTCCACATCGATCATTCTCTGTTCCTGTTCTCTTCCCTTCGATCTTCTTAACCTTCTACCACCAGGTTTTTCAATTTCGATTGATAATACATACTACTCATGTCTGTCCACATCAGTAGCACACACTACGATTATGGTGAACTACTAACATTCTTAAAAATTCTTTACAACGTAGTATAACATTTTAAGCAAAGATGGATAGTGCTATCGTGGAATCCAGTTTGACATGCGTTTCGTCCTATTTGGACTGGTCAATTGGATGTACCTACATCATAGAGTTGATGTTCACTCTGTGATTCAAACTCAGTACCGCCCCCTCCAAACACCATCGCGTTATCCACATAGATATTGAGCCCTACGTTCGAATCCCAGAGTGAACATCAAATCTGAAATGCAGATACATCCAGTTGACCAGTCCCAAATAGGACGAAACGCGCGCCAAACTGGATTTTACTGCTGTTCATTTTTGCTTAAAAACGCTTGTGACTTAAAGCTATATCAAAGCAATCCGCACAGGATGCATATATATCAACATGAAACGGATCAATTGCAATCCTAAAGAACGATAGAAAGATACAATTAAAACAACACCAAGTGAATTTAAAGTTCACCCTAATGCACAAACAGGTGGCTAGTAGGACTGAGCAGGTAAGTGAATAACACGATAGCACTATTCACTGAAAGAATAAAATAAAGTAATTTGATAGTTGAATTCTATTTCAACTTACTTTTAAACTCATTAATTCATATTTAATAAGATAAGCAATTGCAATCACTACAGACTGATTAAACATCCATTTTGAAATAATTAAAACACGTTGTCCTCTTAATCGTTTTTCTTCTAAAATAAAATAAAAACATTTTTTTATTTTTATTTTTCAAAAAAAGAAAGAAGGAATAATTTAGATAAGTATTAGTTTAGGAGTTGTGGAGATTGTTAAATTTTTTGATTGAGATCATGAGCCGATTGATGTTAGACCACCATTGAAAACCTGGAAGCATTGGACGGCTGTTTTGTCCTATTGTAGGATTGGTTGAGATTAGACATTAACACCATTGGATGCCGGCTCAGTGGTCCAGTAGGTTAAGCATTCGCACGCGAGACTGGAGGCTCTGGGTCCGAAGCCCGCGAGCGGGATCGTGGATGCGCACTGCTGAGGAATCCCACGATAGGACGAAACGGCCATCAAGTACTTCCAAGTTATCAATGGTGGTCTAACGTCAATCGGTTCATGATCTCAATCAAAATTTAGGTAAGATTGAAATGAAAGTGATGAGATCTATAATTTATGGACGATCTCTGAGTAACCCTAAAGTAATATTGAGAATATCCACCTACTGACTAGGGTTAAATAAAGGTTATAAACCTGTATAAAGGATAAAGATTATGATTGACAGTTGATGATTTAGAATAGGAATTAGATTTAGAGTTTTCATCACAAACTAACATCAGCTATAATGTCAAGACTCTATTTAGCCAAATCGATAAGTGGATTTCGTGCCAAAATCCGAGTCTTGTCATCTTATACCTGATTGGTTCATCTATAAATTATAGTCTCGCCAAATAATTGCTTAAAAAAACCTTTAAAACTAATGGATGATTACCTACAGTTTAAAAGTTATGCAACAAGTGAAATATTGATCCAGAGATTATACACAAGATTATACAGAGTTTTCAATGTAGGAAAACTATAACGTGATTTTGATAGTGATATCAAGACCAAAACACTATTTATCTAGATTAGCCATCTTCTTTTGTATTGATCACTTTGATTGATCGTGTGGAGCCAATCCCATTGGTCAGTATACTAGGAATTTACATTTTTGTACTCGTGAACACCCTCCAGAGTAGTCAAGCTAATGGTTTGATCAGGGCAGTAATTTTCCGCCAAAATCTGTCAGTATCAAAGTCTTTCAAACGACGGAATAAATCGGTATTCAGATTAAATAATTTGAGGTATGCATGAAAAGAAATCTGTTCAACCTTTATTCCTACATTGGCCAGCCTCAGACCCAATAAGGCGATAGTACTTCTTTATTATAAACTGATATAGTTTGACTGATATTCACACAGCTCTCTGATTTTTAGTTTCATAACTTTAATTCTTCTTATTCAAGTATTATTGTATAATTATTACTATCATTATCCATAATCTTTCAACTACATGTACAATCTAGATAGCCTTCATTCCTTTGTACTATAGCCTACTTGATTCCAAACACTTAACAAGTTGTGTAACCTTCCATTTATGATCTGAAACTACATTACTGTTTCTCTCATTCTACACTGCCTATATTTTTTTCTCATTATTAACTAACATATAAACTTATTCAAGTTAACATGGCTTATTATTTATCTCAATATTGACTATCTTATTTTATGAACAATCTTGGATTAATACGTTACAATTTCGAAACACATTCGTTTTAAGCTTGATCACTTCATTGGATCATTAGCCTGAATGTATGACTTTAGAATCAGAAGAAAATTTCTCGAAACGAACATTCTTCTTTCGTATATCTGTGTTCTAATATGATGGGAAGTTCTAATAGTTATATAGCCCCCTATCCTATCATCTGACTAATCGTGTAAATACAATATCACCAAGAATGCGTCTCATTTAATGTGCATGTCTGATCACAGCTTGAGGTGTCAGTTGTTATTAGCAACAAGATAAGTGCTATATATAGTTACCCCCCCCCCTAGATACAAAGATTTAAGCTATATAGTATAATTTTTTAAAATAAAAAATTGTACTTAGTCCCTGAGAACTGTAGACAAATTGGAAAGAAACAAAAGGTGATCAGTTTACAAAATGGTCAGAGTTGGGAATCCTTGTAATATAACAATATTACTTATGTTTAGCTAGTATTTACTCGTTTCCCTTGCATTTCATTGGTTAAATTAATTGTTGTCAAACTAGCTGTACTCTTATTGATTAACACATATTTCATTTAGATAGCTCAACTGTTTAAAAATAGACTGTTGTTCAATTTATCAACTTTCATATGAATTTGGTTTAAGCTAATCATGATTTATTGTAGGAACACTTGTTCTTAATATGTTCTCACGCATAATTATCTTTGAACAGCAAAGTAATAATAATAGTAACCATAAGAAAGATAGACTTACGAATAAAATCACAAGCGTTGTCCAAAAATGATAACAGTTCACAATTTTCAGTTGGTTGAATATTCAACATAGAGTCTTTACAATTCTGATATCTAATGAGAATTGAAGAAAAACTCATTATATTCACGCGATCCAGTCAGTGTTTAATACCATTTACATAATAACACATCAAAATAAATTGCTGATGAATTTCTACCTGGTTGGGATCCGCGAAACGATAGCAACCGATGGTTAGAGACCTTGAATGATATGGCTCAAAATCGTTTGCAATGGCGCAGGTGCATCCACTCTTTGTGTTCTCTCAAATTCTAACCTTCTGAATTCTTCATGTCCTTTCTTTTTTTATCTTTCCAAATTTATTTCGCTCGATTATACTCCTTAAACAACATCTTCAAGCCCTAATGTTTCCGATTACTGCTTATACTCTTACTACCTCTACCACTACGGGTTTTGGATCGACAACTGCATCTCTGTGCTAATGTGTTATGGCAACTCGAACTGATGTATGTACGTACAAAGTTCTACGTTGTTACTGACTGACTGATTTAATTTAAAAATGATAAGTTCAAATGACGATGAATATTGAAGAATTCTGATGGCATACAACCTGTAGCATTATAACACCAACTGATTAAACACTAAGAAGATCAACTAGTTGCTGACTAACGTTTAGACCAATAAGCCATTTAAAACATGAAATATTGTCACATTGGCATATATGGTTCTCGAGTAGACTATATAAGTAGTCATGATTGTATAATACGATCAAAGCACTAGAAAATATAAAAACTACGTGGTAGTATTCACGTACTACCCATTACGTTTTGATGATAAAATTTAGTTAGAAGAATAGTCAAGTGAAATTCCAAACAAGTTCGGTGGGTACATTTTGTTAGTTTAATCTATTTTCTTAACAGTCAAGACATTAATGCAGTTTGTGAAACTTTTTCACGAATTATTATTCAAAATAAACAACAGATTTGGTTTATGACAAGTTTTACCAACAATTATTTTAATATGTCTCTTAGAATTTCCAATATGATTTAAGGTTGACTGACAAACATATTGGAAATGAGATAGAACTTGACATACATTCCACACCGTTGACTAGGTTACCATTACAGATTGCAGTTTTTAACTGGAACGACAATAAATCTGTAATAAATGTCTTCATTAGGGAGTATACAAAAAAAGTTCGTCAAATCACCATACTTAATGCATATTTTACTGAATAAAATTTGCTGAAGCTTTTCTCAAATGCTCTATTTGTAAGCAGATATAGAAACACTAAGGCTTGATGTATCAAAAAAAAACTACAAACGTATCAAGACAAGAGAGGTAAGAGTTGAACTAACATCAAATTTGGTTAATAAACCGGAAATGGAAAAAATCATCCTACATTTAGCTTCTTCATGTAAAACGATTTTGATTGGTTTAATGTAGCAAATTTTGTTAAGTTAGAACAACAATGAAAAATAATGAGATCAGTTCGTCATTCACAAACTCACATGGGATCGTCATTATCTAATGCACAATTTATATGTGCTACAATATTCATTTGTCTATGAAGCTTACGATCACCAGCATGTTGAATTGTACCAATATATAAAACATCCGGCAAAACTTCTAATGGGTAAGTAGAAAACGATTCAAGCTCCTTAAAATATAATATTTTGAAAAAAAGAGTATTATTATTTTCATAAATTATTCGCTTTTATTCTATCAAACAAGTTTAGAACTAGCCTTGTAGCTTTAAAGTAAATTACTCAATAAGCATTGCACAGTGATGCACACCTTGTTAATTATTCATTAAACCAGCTAAACAAAGATGATAAGTCATTATTCTTGACTATTTATCAAGAATACGTACGTGGAAAACTTTTGCGCTCATTGAATAACCAATGTAATATTCTCCAGCCCACTCACTTCTGAGCACAATCAAATAAAACATTCATTACCATACTCTTTTTATAACGTTTAGAGTATATTTAGTTCAATGCAGTAAACAGTTTGGTGTTCTTGGTACTCAATCAAGTTGTACTTTAAATTCACTGGTTTTAATTTCATTGGTAAGTATATAACCATTCTTTATACAAGATATGTAAAGTATGCTGTAAATTTCGGTTAAAACGTTTCCCCAGCATACTACCACTTCACGCTGTTATAAGTAAACACTTGTACCAATTTTGCCATTACTTTCCTGAACTTCAAAAGGATTAGTTTCACCTAAGTAATTACTATCTTTTTGTTTGGTTAATGTGATTTCAAAATTTTCTTTACATAATGCTTGTTTTCATCCTTCGTTAACGATACATAAAAATGATGTCCGAAACTTAAAGGTGCTGTATTTATCCGACCGATTATACTAGAAAAATGACTTTGTGAATAAAACACTCGATGATAAACCATCGGGTCGTGTGTTCGTATCTCGTTTGATTTACTTCAGTTTAGACAAGTAAGACTAATCATTTAGTAAAGTTGCACTTCCTGAATTCAATCGTTAAATCATAAGTCCCATATTATATTTCCATATAAAAATATCAGTTTTTGGTAGTGTAGTATCTTGTACTACTTCACACTTGCAGACTTTAATAACTCAGACAGCATGTGATAATCAAGTTATTTTTACCCTCACAATGACGCCACTCTTTTCGCAGGAAATTGTAATTTTCAGCAAATATACGTCTTATATTCATGTCTTTGTAATCCCACGCCTATGCGCATTGTGTCATTCATGATTTTATTCAATGCCTGTGTGTTACACTAAACATAGTCTGTTCTGGGCTATATTAACGTTTGTAGTAAGCAGCATAAGTGAGTTGACACGTTTGCCGTATCCGCCTTGCTTTATTTTTCCTGATTGTCATAGTAGTGCTTGTATAAATAACTTGAAGTTGTGGTAACGTCCCATTACTTTTCTTTGTGTTTATAAATTGTAATTGATGTATTATAGCATTAACTGTTGGATGCAATAACTTTATTGTCATTTTTGAGTTAATGTAATTTTTTTTACCACCAAAAAGTTTATCGACCTTAATCCACATTCAGCGTCTTATTACCGCCAACACGCAAGCGGAGTTAGCCCAGATGTAATATACGGAATTAAAAGGAAGATTTGTATTCATGGCAGAATCTTTTATTCAAATTGAAGTCAGATAATCGGGACACAATATGGTAGTGTAGCTGTAAATTAGTCCCAAATTAAATAGCTGTGTACGTTTTCGATACCCAATATATTGATAGCCTAGCAAATATATCTTTAAACTCCTCGCTTCTGTCTTTTGATTTCACTTGGTGGGTACGATTCACATAAGGCGTTACTGGTTAAAGCGTTGTCAAACTCCAAATACCTGTGGCATCTTCAGTATAAACAAAAATACGATCAAAATCGGTAACATATAGTCTTAAAATTGTAAAATGGGTCTTACTCGCGGTAAATACATTATCTTATCACTTCTCATGTATGGATATAAACGAGTAAATGTCTCAAATCCTCCTAAATATAAAACATAAACTATGGAAACTTCGTTTACAAACCTTCCAGTATTTTAACTATGTGACGGCTCCCGTTGTCATACAAAAGCTTTGCAGCTCTAACTGCATCCCCTGAAAGATTTATTGACTGAAATAAGAGAAATCATAGGTACACCTTCAGAGTCCAATGATGATGTATTCCCATCATAAACAATGACATTCCATCTGCAGTCAAGTTCTGCCTCATAAGGTATTCTGAAAGAACAAGCATTCAACTAACAAGTTAGTTAAAACATCTAGATACTCTTTTCAAATTCTTAGCTGTTATAATATGTGACTTATTATAGTCGTCAGCAGTTCGTGAGTCTTAAACACATCAAATGTATATATATGTAGGAGTATTACCAAACAGGGCACAATAACATGGATCACTTATGAAAGCGTGAGTAAATTTCTGATTCAAAATGTTATACAGTTCACTTGGTTTTATAATCTCTAGTTTAGCCATGTTGAAATAACGCGTCCAAATAGTTATGACTATCAAGGTCAAATATAGTAATCAGTCTTCAGTAATAAGGATAGTAGGTCGATGGACCTGTGTCAATCTTGACAGTTTGCTTTCCAGTGAAGGTTCAGTTTTTCCTTGAAAATGTTCACTGATGGGGCTGATATCACTTGTTCGGGTAAGACGTTCCAATCATTGACCGCTCAGTGAGAAAAACGGAACCCCACTTTTAGTTTATTAGGTGGCGGCTTGCGAACCTTCCTGCTATGACCTTGGACATTATTGTTGCTGGAGGGAGCAAAAAGATAAGACACATTGACACCCAAATCGTAATTAAAGATACGAAATTCCAATATAAGGTTACCTCGCGACCTACGATATTACAAGGGGGAAAGGTTTAGGCGTTTTAATTGCTCATAGTAAAAAAATTTTAAAAAGACCCTTCACTGACCTTTTCACACTCTGAACATGCTCAAGTGAGTTGATATCCTTGGTCATATATGAGCCAGAGGCTTGGATACAGTACTCTAAGTGTGGACATACGTAGGTGGGATATAAAATTCGAAACATCTCGCCAAAGCATCCGAATGCATGGCGAAGTGACCGTAGGGCGCGAAACACTTTGGAAACTGACACGTTGCAATGTGTAGTTGTTTTCAAGCCGTGGCTTATTATTACTCCTAAGTCTTTATGTTCCTGCATGCATGGAAGAGACGTACCGTCAATGGTATACTGGTAAATGTTATCATGCCCGATGTGTATGAACATGCTCTTCCTATAATTAATCTCTAAGCCCCAACATCGAGCCCACCTGACTAATTCGTCTATTCTAGCTTGGAGATCAGAACGATCAGTTTCACTCCTTATTATCCTCCAGATTTTGACATTATCATCAAACAATGATGCCGGCGACTTAAACAATCGCGGTACTTCATTAACGTAGAGAAGGAAAAGTAGGAGGCCTAAGATGGTGCCCTGAGGCATAACACCTTGACCGGCTCCCATCCAGATAGCGTCCGATTTATCCTCAGTCTGTCTGCGGTCATATAAGAAGTTTCCTATCCATTCCTGCACGGCACCTGTTATTCCGAAGCTCGAGAGCTTCTGAGCAAGACCTAAGAGTAAAACCTTGTCAAATGTTTCGCCAAAGTATATGAATATCGCATTAATGGACAGACGGTATCTACAGCTTCCGTCTAATCAACTCCCGCAATAAGGTGGTCAAGCATGAATGCTTGTTTCGAAACCCGTGTTGCTCGGGCGTTAACAGATTGTGTGAATCTATGTGATTTGTTAATTTGGCCCGAATTATCTTTTCAAGTAACTTAATGACTATGCTGGTAAGACTGACATGTCGGTAGTTGGACATGGTCTGTCTCTGACTATCTCTAAAAATAAGACTGACTAGCATCTTTACAATCTGGAGGGAGTTGAGTGTGGGAAAAGGACATGTTGAAAAGCATCGTGCGTGGTCTTGAAATAATGTCCACAACAGATGACAGAAATCGTGGGTGTACCCCATCAGAGCCCGATATCTTACAAGGCTTAAGGTTGGCGATCAATTGAAGAACAGTTTCTTCAGTCACGCGTACAGGTCCTATGGCTAGTATCTCAGTGGTGTGATTAGGACAAGTACTTTTACCAATACATGTGGAGTAGACTTCTCAGAAATAGTTTGGTAATGTTTCATCTTTTCCCAGATTTGATTCAGCCGGCAACTCTGAATTTTTGTGTGGCAGTAATGGGAGAATACGTCATCCATTTCTAATCAATCGCGGTTGTATCAACTTGACCACCGGTATCCAGTGGTGCTTCATTCATTAATTGTTTCAAGATAGAAACCCTATTGCGTGCTGCACAGTAGGATGTTTGGCACGCGTCGTAACAGCACTTACAATAGTGACACACTATTCGCCATCAGTACCCATGTAACAAGAATAGCCCTCAACAGCCGTTTTGTTAACCAACGCTAGAAGGTTAATTACCTCTTGGATGAGTAGTTTATTGCTAGAATAGCAAAGCACACAAAGCCAATGGGAGTGGGTCTTTGAGCAATTTTCATATGCAGTAGGATTGAAGAGAATACACATCTTATAGAGCTACTTGCTACACCCATCACATTGCCGTACTTCCTCCATAAGGGATTAGCGACATGAATGTCCACAATTATGATCAGAGCCGGCCATCTTAAAAATCAACTAAAAATGGCAATGCACAAGTGGATTTGAAAAAATTTCAAACCTTAACCGAAATAAATCGAGTAAAAATTCACCAAGTATGTTTTGATGCAATAAATACGTAAAAGGAAAGTCAACTGTTAAGTCCCGATAAGCACAATGAATGGAAACTTTTGGAATCCATTTGTGGACGAATACTATGCGTATATTTTTATCGTATTATTGTTAATTAACTAAACTATTCATATCCATGTTCCTCTTATTATGAGCATTATTTTGACCTATGAACTATTATCACACGATTTACCATTCTCGAATTATGCCCCGTCTATTAATTACTACCTCCCTAATTCACAGCCACATTTGGCTAAATTTTGTACAAATGTTGTTTCCTATTATGTGGCACGATGTGGTCTGTTTGGTTTGTATATAAACCCAGTCTGTGTTGAAATAAATGATTCTAACGCAGAGGTTGATATTTGTGTTCTGGACTTAACAGGCAGGGTTAGGCGGGAAGTAGGACCGATAAGACTCTAGACCGCTCGCACAGGTTTTATGCATCATTGGTCCGATCGATAATTCATTGATCTCTGGTTGGCGGTATCATTACGTATACATTAGCAGGGCACTCAGGCCACAAGTTACAACATCAACACACAAATGTGCAAAATCCATTGGACTAAAATAATTCAACTGAAGTGGGAACAGTAGTTTTTATGCGTAATTTAACTCAGAGAGGACAAATACCATTGTCCTTTACCAGATATTTATTAGCTTCTCGTGCATTAAAAAAGCCTGTTAAGTAAATTGGGGGCCTAAGCAGTCAAGTAAATCTCCTGCACTCTGTTAATTTCATGATCACAAATATTTTGGAGTCATACTAACTCTGGTAACAACTTATTTTCTGGATAGGCATCTAATGTTCATTCAAGCTTCACGACCCAAAGTGAATACGATTACACGTATCTCATCTCTGCATGCACTCTTCTGTTTCGCTGATCATTCTACTAATACACCACTAACGATGATTTTTCGCTACTTATTGTTAACGTTATCCACATACCTTTTCAATATCGTTTTCCAAAAACGTTTTTAAAAATTAGTGTGACATTCTCTTCAGGTGGGCTCTATAGTGTCTAGTACTATGTTAAGCCCATAAAAATTGTTCTAGCCTCGGAGTACGCCAGTTTATCTACTCTTTCTGAGCTACGCCTTGACCCTGTTAATTATTCGCCAATTAAACTTGACTGTTCTTCACACCAGAGTGAATCATTAGTGTGGGCGACGTATATGGAGTCTGCTCGATTTGGACAGTAGCGGTGTGACCTTATGTATCAATTTGAAGTGGCCAAATTGGTTGCTATGTAGTTCTATTTTTTAGGAATACTGTCCCATTTGCAATTATCGACAGTGTATCCCATGAGAGTGAGACGCGTGAATTAGTTAGTTGCCGCTTGAAATGCAAGGGAGAAGAGGTACTGATTGGTTTGGTCTATCGTAGTCCATGCTGTGAGGTAAATGAAGTCCTGCTAAGCAGTCTCAATACCTGCTCACAAAGTGGTCGATGTCTAATCCTAGGGGACTTTAATGCACCTATGGTAGACTGGGAAAATCTGCGAACTTAATGGTCACATAATTCCTTTGAGCAAGAACTAGTTGATGCGGTTATCACATGTGCTCTAGTACAACATGTGAAAGAAGCGACTAGCTAAGACCCAGACTTTGAATCATGTTTACTAGATTTTATACTGACTCATAATAAGGATGACGTTATGAACCTTAATTACATGCCACCCCTAGGTAAAAATGATCATACAGTTTTTAATTTTGACTTCCATATAATTGTCAATCACAAGCACGCGTCAGCTCAATCCAGACCTAGCGTCTGGAAAGCAAACATACTAGATATCATGCACTCAGCATCGTAAGTAGATTGGACAATAGACCCACAGTCCTCAATTGGAACGGCTTGGGACGCATTTCGAAATTTATACTTAAAAGTTGCCGCACCCCATATCCCTTGGGCTATACTGAGGGGGCCGAAAAACTCTCAACCATGGTTCAGTAGAGAGGTTCGCATCCTTCTCCGTAAGAAAAGGAAAGTGTGGGATGGGTTTGGGTTACTGGGGACTGATGAGACAAAATCTCAGTATCGAAAAGCTCAGAATACCTGTGCTCCACCCTCTGTAAGATTGTACGAAGATAAAATTGTAAAGGAACCCATAGAATGTTCTTCACGTTTGTATTCGTATGTAGACCAAAGGGCAAAAAGAAGAGGAAATATTGCTGCACTATGGGGAGACAATACTACCTCATCGTTAGTGGAGGACGACTTTGGTAAGGCTCAAGTGTTCTCGAACTACTATATACCATAGAAGCACACTTTCTGTCAGCGTATACAAATCCCGCACACATACACTGGACAGTGTGACCATTAAGGGTGTCAAGATATGTAGAACGATATGATGTGAGGGTGATAGCTTAGAGCTCCAAAATGACCTGAAGCAATTATCTGAATGGTCTCAAACCTGACAGTTGCCGACAAATACTTCCAAGTGTGTTGTGATGCATACCGGTCATCAAGGTACAGATACATGCACGATGAATAACACCTGTTTTCCAAACACATAATGACTTAGAAGTCATCGTTAGCCAAGACTTAATGACTACTACACACTGCCATGCAATAGCCGCCAAAGGTTTTAGAACTACATGGTCAATACGTAGGGATTTTAGTTATGTGGACGCTGAAACGTTTTTGACTTTGTATACAATGTTCGTGAGTTTTAGACTTGAGTACTGCATACAAGCGGCTAGCTTCCGCCT